ATGTCAATGGTGCACTCAAATTTTCATAAAGTTTGAATCTTTTTTCATTCCTAATATGAAACATTCGACATTCATTGACAAAAAATCATTGCTAATCGAGTTTCAAAATAAGTTTTTTTTTTCATTCCTTGGCCATCGTAATGGGATCAAAGTGTTTTATTTGTTTTCTTTATCTCTAATGGTAATTTTAATTTTTCCCAAAAAAAGGAAACATTCAAATTCATTGACAGAACAGCCATTGCTTTTTCGAATTATTTTTCCCTTCATTCCCTTTAAAAATGGACCTGAAATCAAAACTGTAAAATCTGTTCGCAAATTTCTAATGTTAATAAATTTTTTATTAACATAGTTATAACTTTTGAAAAAAACTTAAAATCCATACAATATTTTTATATATATACATATATATATATATATATATATATATATATATATATATATATATATGTATATATATATATATGAAAATATATAGAAAATAGGAAGGAACTGGTTAGGTAAATAATCCAAAGTTCCTTTAGTATTTTTGTTATTATTTTTTTTTAAAAATAGTGCTCGATACAAAAGTAGAGCATAAATATAATTATTTATTTAAAAATATGATTCCAAATCGCTACATAAGAGGTCTCATGTTTCAAAACAAGAGCCGAAAACTTCAATATAATTATTTAAATTAAATTGAGTTAAAGTAAGCTCTGTTCCATATTCATATGGAATTTTTTATTTTATATATATATGGAATCTATATATATATATATATATATATATATATATATATATATAATATAAAATGTTTATTAAAATATTTTGTGACATGTGAATTCTTAAAAAGAATAAGAACAATTTTCCATATTCAAAATATATATTTAAATAATAACTCATCATCCCAAAAATTTATATAGACAGTATATATTTTTAAATAACAAATTATTATTAGTATCTAAAAATATTATTTATATATAATGATAATTTAACCCAGAAATACTAATAGATTTTTATCAAAAAGATAATAACTTTAAGATACATTCAGGATAATAATCCGATGTTTTTTGTTTTTTAAGATACAAACATCATACAAATATATGATTTATAAATTCAAAAAAATATTTTCATCTTTGATTGTGTGATTTTATAGTGACAAAATAGCTGAAATTAATAAAATTGAAAGTAGAACTACTTTTATTCGGCTTTGATTTTTATGGTATATAATAAAATTCTATATCAGGACTCAATGGAATTTCATGTTTAAGCAGTTATAAACCCACACCTTAAGAAAGAATTTGCACCGTTCTTGGCCTCTTGAAATGTGCTGTTTCTCAATCTCTTTGTTAATCAATTTTACTGAATTAATTAAAATTGTATATTATATTAATTTATTTAAAACCTTTGTATTTTTTATATATAATTGCTATATTGATCTATATATACTATATATAGTATCACACGCATTCTATATAAATTTTGTTAAGAATATAAATATCTGTGGATATTCTAACGATTCCTCACATGATTTCCATTAAATCAAAACTAATTAATAAATTCGACCAATATATCTAAATGTCCCTCTATCTATTATTTTTAATTTTCATTTTCATTATCAAAAAAGTTTTTTTTATTTCCTTATATTATAAAATTATTCTTTATTTAAAAAATAACATGAATTTACTAATATATTTCCGATATATAAATTGTTTAAATTTATTTTTTTAAAAATTAAATTTAAATATCAAACAGAGTGAAATTTATTATAAAATTTATTCTCTTGAATTAAAGAACTTTAATAAAATGAATTTTTTTGTAAAATTCCCCGTAATTTAAAATATTTCCTTTCAATTAAAATTTAACTTTATAATCTTGTACATGTTTCCTAAAGATCTTTTCTCTGACATCTTTTAAAATTCTTTCATTTATTTCCTAATTCATTGCAATACTTCAAAAAAACACTTTTGAAGAGCAATAAAAGAATCTCTTCAATATATTTTTAAAGAAAAGAACAATGCATGATGGAAATCAAAACTGATGATCTAATGAATGGAAAAGATTGATGTAAAATATGGATTATCCAAATAACAATTCTTTTTATATATATTTATCGTCCTTTTTTGCATATTTTTACAGATTTTCAAATAAATTTCAAAAATTAAATATAAATGTATTTTTTAAAATTGTTTTGAAAACTGTGAAACCAGAACAATTGTACATTCAAATTTCAGAATAAACAAATTTGTATAACAATTAACCAAAATTTTAATTTAATATAAAAAACCACTTGTGAAGAAAAATAAATCTCAAAATTTGAAATCATTAATAATTTATTAAATTCATGAATTTGATTTTTATTTCATTTAAAATTGCAAGAATTTGTTTCATTTTTGTTGTTACTCTGTTCCGGATGAATCATTTAAATTGAAAGAAAATTCTACAGCAAAAATTTGAAAATGTTGGACCCCATTGTCTTTTTTTAAACCAAAAATAGTTCTTTGAATAAATTATCAAATGAAATTTTCCTGAATTTATTTTTAGTTCATATTAAACAATAGTAACATTTCAAATTTAGATACATGTATATATATATATATATCAAAAACAGAAAGTTATTGAATTATTTGTAAGATATTAAAAATGTAATTAAAATTTTATTTTATATTCAAAAATTCCCCAGAAAATAATATTTTCAATTTAAATATTTCTTCATCCAAACTCAGAAAAAGAGAAGTTTTGCCTTTTCCTTTTTAGTGAGATTTATCAAAATTTTTAAATTTTTTTTTTTGAAAGTATAAAAATATTTTTTTAAACTGACATAATTTTAAATATAAATATAGTCTATCTAAAAAAAGCTGGAACTTGTTTTATAATAATAATATTGATCATCATTTTTTAAAATAATTTTTTATAATCATTTGATATTTTATAAAGCCATAACCCTTGAAATTTCAATATAATGATCCACACTTAACAATATACTAAAATATAATATGAAAGGTTTAATTTTCTGCTCATTTGACCTTTATATTAAAACTTTCATATCATTTTTAAATTGAAAAACGGTGTAAATTCCTGGTATCAAATTAAACATTGTATATTTATTAAATTTAATAAGATTAAAACTTTCATTTTTTAAATTGATGAATAGACAACAGTGAGAGAATAGTTCAATGGATATTTGGTATGGTTCTTAAAATTTTAGTGATATGTTAGTTGAAAAATTTATATTTTGCCTTTTTACATAACCATGTGTTTAAATGCTCAAATCATTTCTCATTGAATTTTACATATATTTTTTTAATGGCTAAAATTCGATTTTTGGCTTTTTAAATCCTGGCACATGAAAACTATATTTTGCCAAAATTTGAGAATTGAATTTTCTGAAAAATAGAATTTTTTAAATTTATGAGCCATTTTTTTTTTTTTCAAATAGTCGATAAATTGGGTTTGTAGGCAATATTTTCACAACAATATCTTTGGGAATGGAATCATAATGATTTATAAATATTCACTTTTATGTTCATCTTACAAAGCAATGAATTTTTTTGTGAAAAATTTTTCAATTTTCTTAAAAGATCTGGCTCTCTTAGTGGAAAATTTTAAATACATTAAACCAAAATAAACAATCAAAAACATGTGAATTAAAAATTTTAAACAGATGAATAGGTCAAAAAAAAATTTTTTACTTTCATCAGGCTTGTTGTTTTTTGGTAATTATTCAAGTTCTTTTTGAAATTTCCTTTTGTCGAATAAAAGCATCAATTATATTGATCATTGTATATATAATATATTAATGGAAAAAAAAAAAATAATGGTCTTTTTAAAAATTTGAATTGTTATTTATTAAATAGATGATCAAATTCCAATGTTGGTTTCTCAAATCTTATTTCATTCTACAAAATAAATTCTCACACATAATTATATATCATTGGAACGTAATATCTTATAACTTTATATACAATTTCTCTCTTATTTTGTATAAAATATTTCTATATGAAATAAATTGATTTTAAATGATATAAAATTTTAATTGTTTTAGATAATATTTTAAAAAAAATGTTGAAATATTTGGAACTTTTTAAATTTAAAATAATTAAATTAAATAAATTAGGTATTGATAATATTTAAATTCATGTTAAAATGATTTGTCTAAGTTAAAATTGCCACTAGCATGCAAGGGGTTACAGAGAGTGAGAGCAAGAGTAAAGAGGCGTGATAGAGGAAAGGATGAAGAGAAGGACAGGGAATTAGATCAAGGCATCTGAAGATGTCGATTGACATTGCATTTGAATATTTGAAGATTATAGCTATCAGGGAAGCAAGTAAGAGGAAGGGAGTTCCACAGACGGGAAGTGCGAGACATAAAGCTATTGGAGTAGAAGAGACTGCTACATTTAACCATTTCGCCAGTGAAAGGGTGGGACTGAGATGCCAACCTAGTAGCACGTTTAAATTCATGCAGTTTGGGAACCAGTGAAATATCTCGTCGGAGAAGTTACCGTGAAAGTATTTGTAGAAAAGACAGAGGGAAGCGACGTCACGTCTTTGAGAAAGTGACTGTAGAAGATATGCTAGATCAGGACCAACCACATAGCATATACGTCTGTGGATTTTGTCTTGGATCTTGAGACGAACAGCGGAGACCCCAGACCATATATGGTAGTAGTATTCCATGCAAGGGCATTGGTTGATTTATAGATTTAAAATCTCTGATTCTTTCGTTTCTTAGAATAAATTGTTTGTTCAGTAGTGTAGAGTCAACAGAGAAGGCCTTTAATTTCACTATCAGTGAGAGCTCTCTCGTGCCATTTCTATGCGCAGTTACAGATAACGTGAAAGAATTGATTTAAACGACGTTAAAGAATTAAAGTGTAACGGGCGAGAAAAGAATTAAGAAAAAAAAACCTTGGGGTTAGCTGCTTCTTCTCTTTGTAGATGAAGATATAGCCTGTTGCTGATACTATAATTAATTTGCCAATAAATAAATACGGCTAAAAACATGTCATTATCTGATAATGTTGTTATTTTCTCGGATTCTTCTCGTAGGCGTTGAGGGTCTTCATGTACTGTATACTGCGGTTTGAAATCATCCTTCACTGTTTCACCCACGAATATTTAATAAAATCTTTCACAAGAAATACGAGACAATGCCGACTCAGAAATTGTACGTGTACCAGCGAAACTTTTACTTATATATATCATCTGAGGTGCTTCGTTTTATATTTGTCAGTTTCCTTATTATACTTTTCTCGAGCTATAATTTTGTATCCCTCTTTTTATTTCTGGCCGGAGTCAGGATTTTTCTTCTTCACAGAAAACGAAATCTAATTACGTATCGCAAAGTTGTGTGTGCCAATTATATCGCCTTAAAGAATTTTCGGCATGAAAGAGCAAAAAAAAAAAAACAAAAAAAAAACAGAAAGAAATGCTTTATAACTTCCACATAATTGTGCTTATATTTTCAAAAAATAAGTCTGGTGAAATAATGGCTGATATGGATTTTAAAAAAATAGCAATATTTGGTAATTCTTTTTTTTTATGGGTTTGATGTCGACCTCTGATTACAACAGCAAGACAAATGTCGACACAATGGCTAAGCTGCTGCCCATATCTTAGCAAGAATTAACCAACTGAAAAAAAATCAGTTCTCTCTAAAAACAGCAAATATTGTCTTAAACATAAGATAAGGTAATCAACGCGGTCCAAGAACTTTCTCCTTTCGGGTAACATTCATCCTTGAATTATGGAATTACTACGTAATTTGGTAACAAGAACGTGGGTGTTATGGAAACTCCTTTCTCTCCTTCTGGTTGATTTCTTGTTGCTCTGTCTACCAACAAGCCCAATAAAATGTTTCTTCCGTAAAATTTGATCCAAATCTCTACTATAATATTTCTGTTTCTCTGTCCGTCAAACACTAACATTGCATACGAACATCTAACGTATAGCCGTGTGTCTGCGTTGTGCATCTGGCTTACGGTGACATCATGTTGAAACACCAGTTCCAGTACGATGACTGAAATTAAGCAACGCCAATCCTGGTCAATAAGTTGATGGGTGACTGCTTGGGTATACCAAGTGTTGTATAATTTTTTGATATTTTCAAAATTTATAAATAATAATGGTTCGAGATTGTTAAAATCCATTTAACGAGTTCCAACTCGAGTCTGGTTGGTTATATTCACTTACGAGCAAATACCCTAGGGACATGTATAAATCCACCTCCTCTGTCCCCAGCTATGGATTAACTAGTAGGATTTGTATCACTAGACCATTCTTATCTCAAAACAAAATTCGTACATTCTAAAAATATTTCCTAGCTTTAAATAATCTTCAATAAGCCGTAAAAAACGAATCGAGCAAGATGACAAATATAAAACGAAGCACCTCAGATGATATATATATTTTTTGTAGAAATATTGTCAACCCTCTCATTAAATTGCAAGTATGCAAGCGTTACATATCCACACTCTTTGATGGAATTTGAAGTTGACATCTGTGTTGTGAGGGATAATTGACTTTTGTTTGACAACACCTGGTCAACAGAAAAACCCTAAGCCATGTGCGACCATCTGAAATTATTTTTATAACGACTTGTGTATTTAAAACTGAATTTATTTTCGAATAAATGTATTATTTCAAACCGACAATTTAGATTTTAAATTTGATTATGTCGTTATATTTAACGAAAGCAGCGTGTTATATCGTGAACCGGGATATTTATTCCGAGCCTATGTTTCGCTAAATATTTGCAGCAAGTGACTTAAATTTATCCGGTAAATACCATTTAATAACCTGAGAAATGGGATTTAATTTCATGGAAATGGTAAAAAAATTTTAAATAAAATTTCAAGGTAAAGTTAACCATAAGATAAAGCAATCAATGCTCCTAAATATAAATATAAGAAATTTCAGGACGTAAATTAGTAAAGAATGGCTTCCACAGCTTCCTTTTTAAGAGACGTGAATTGTCAAAAGTGCTTGAGAAAGAAAGATTGTGGAGTAGTTTCATATTGCTTTTTTTATGGTTTGAAATTCATTTTTTCTTCTCGACTGACTGCTATCCAAGTTCAGCGAATCCAGGATACTTTATTTAACCCATAGCGAAAAGGGAAAAAAAAGAAATATTCGATTAAATATCATTTATGAACTTTGATCATTAATATCAATTTAGTCGTCTAACTTTTTGGATTTTGAATTGCTAACTCGGTTAATGTAATTTCACTTCTCAGCCAAAGGTTAAGAATTAAAAAATACCCGCGCTTTCCGTTTACCTCATTTTACAAATATTTTTAATTCCTTCCCTTGGATGACTAAAGCTAAACAAGGTTAATTAAGGTTTAATTTGCGTTATTTAATTGATGTTTTTTCCCATTTAATACAAAAACTGTCCAAGTGGGCAATAATGCCAAATCAAAATTGAAATTATAAAGAACCAGCCCGTGGAATGACAATAATACCACATGGTATAAAATAGGTTAATGATCGGGAGGATTAAGGTTTTGAAAAGTTAAATACCACCTTTCTTAATGTGATCTCGGTTATGTTATTTCCAGTTCCATCCTAATTTTATGTCTCTAGCACCTTTTAAGTACTTCCTGAAAGCAAACGAAAGGTTAAGAATTTAAAATGTAAGCCCAAGTTTTGCTTACGGCCATATCACCCTGAAAAAACTCATAAAATTGGTCTAAAAGATACATGTTTTGAAGTTATAAATCCTAAAATAAAAAGTTACTACTTCCAAGATTAACAATATATCAATTATTTATATATATAATAAAATATATATATATATAAAAATATATTTATATATATATATATATATATATATATATAATATTTCAGCAGTATATTTGTAGTTAAAGATAGAATATTGTGTTCAAAATATATTTAGTTGAAGCAATAAAATACCTCTCGCAAATACCTCTCATAATAATAAAACAGCCAGATGAAGACATCATTGCCATTAATGTCTTACCATTATGTGGGAGGCATTTATGTCGCATCCTGTACTTAATCATTGTTATGTATGAGAGAGAGTGTGAGTGAACAAGTGAGAAGGAAATAAAATAATATTTGAAGAAACCTTATTTTGCTAATGAAATTAAGGGCGCTATTCAGAAAAAAAAAAAACAAATAGACCGTTTGCATGCCCGCTCGCTACCGTTTGCCTATGACTGGTTTAAATTGACACCAGGAGGATATGGGTTGAGGATAAAATAAAAATTCTTATGAGTAAAATAGGCATTTTTTTTTTATATTATGCAACCAATTCTCATATCTATATAAACCTAAGAAGACTAAAAGATGACTAAAAAACTATTGTTCTGTTTTAGTAACACGACTTCATCGAAACTATTCTCTAAAAAAAAACTTCACAGCTCTACAAATTCTATTTACACACTCAAAAATCATTTTTCCTAAAACCCTTCCGTTATAAAGCCTTTAGTTTACATAATTGCGTTATCGATAGTCACGTTTCTTATCTCCATTATCAATCATCCGAACACCTATTCTGCAGCAATAGATATAAATCACCAATTTTGAAGTAAGTTCACGTTACGATTGTTCGTTAATATAGCCGGCTGCTGACTTGTGTTATATCTTTCTCCTTTAGATTTAGTAAAAAAAAAAAAATGTTTTTGTGGTTTGTTATTTAACTGCCATCTGTTGTAAGTTATTTCACCAAATCGCTGGCATGGCGCCTCGTTTTTGTCGCAGGTGTCTAATTGTTACAATCTTCCGATTGAATGCCATGAATTACTGCACCAGTAAAATGCAGTAGGCTATTATCGTCCCAAAATAACAGTTGTAGTGTAACTACGGACAATAATTGTTGTGTCTCCATTCACACAAATACAGTATTAAATAATGTACGTTAGTCTGCTGTTGGAGATTCGTCTCCAGCTGTGCTGGTCAAACTCCGGGCAGAGAGGATCCCCAGTCGAGGCTATGTCGAAGGGCCGGGCCTCTCGTCTCGGGAAACAACTACCCAACCCCGTTTTATACGGGGTCTGCCGGAAATTTTGACCGAGAATACGGGCTCGGATACCTCATATTAAATTCGGCTTTGTGCCACATCTGACCGCGTGGGGTGGTTGGTATATATCCTGCAGTTGGAGATTCATTGTGGAATTGTCTTGATTCACTTCTTGCAGTTGATTAATACTTCTACGCGCCGCTGGCGAATGTTATATGTGTTGTTCTTGTCTAAAGTATTATCGTTCATTACCAGACTTCGTGTGATTATTCTATTCAGTAACCTTCCCTAGGTTACAACAATAACCTATTTTGTGCTTCCGAAAACTCTTATCTAATTCACATATGTGATAAGTTTAATCATTATTATTTATTTATTTTACTAAATTTCACACAATATAACCTCAACAGCCACTCAAGTGAGAGCGTTACTGAATGAGATGTGTGATATGAATGTAAGAGGAGATCGAAAAAATAATATGAGGACAAGGCGGATAAATAACAACTGACTCTTGAAATGGTTAGAATTGTAGAGTTCAGGGAAGCATACACACGGGAGTCTATGCCACAAATTAGCAGCTTTTAGGTTAAATTGTGTCTGAATGGAACTTTCTCTTACGCAATTAGGATACGGAGAGAATATGGTGAATTCGACACTGTGCACGTAATTCTAGTTGTAAACGACGGAAATGGTGAAACCGAAGACGGGATCTCGTCTGAACATTTGCCACGAAAACCTTTTCTATTATTTGTGTTTGTACTGATGGCTTTCGTTTTCTTTTTCTTGTGTGTGTGTATATGTGTTTTTTTGTTGTTGTTTTTTTCATTTATTTAATTGTCCCAATATAATCCGATTTAAATGTTGGGAAGCTTGTAATATGTACCTCACCTCAGATGAGGCCTGAATAGTCCTTACACTTCTTCCTTCCGAGAAATCAAAGTACCAGGATGATCTGAGGGATGACATGTTAGCCGAAGGTGGAAATTCACATACCACCGGATATCAGTGGCTGCCCCAACATCTGAACACTTGATCGACCCAGCTGCGCATGGGATGTACACAAGTGGAGAAAAAAAAATCTGACAGCCAGATATATAAACACTCACCCCAAAGAGAAGAAAATCTCTTGCACCTTGTGTGAAGAAGAGTCCACATTCAAAGACAGCCACAAAACGCCACCGTCGGCTTTATCTCATATCTAATAATTTACTTCCTTCTTTCCTGATCGTTTCTTTTATGATAATGTTGATGACTAAAGTCTAGCTTCTGGTTTCATAAAAATCTGTTCCCAGAAACCCATTTCCTATCGCCGTTTGGATTTGTAAGAGTCGGTTGAAGGTGAAACAAAATCAGAGTTGAAAAAAGTGCCGATGGCGTAAATTTGAGTAAGGAGGGCCTTAACTTGCCACGAGGTGAACCACACACTTGATTTCATGACCTTCTTCTGCTAGAATGAGATATGCAGTGTCTAGTTATAAACTGCAAAGTACTGCCGCTGACTATAATTTCGAATGGCGCCCTCTGTAGCATTTTCGTCATACGTAACCCTCTTCATCCGCTGGTTCGACCGTTGATATCTGTTGTAATCAACGTCCATTTGTTTAACCGTTGGGATATTTGGGGTTGGTCGCTTTTAGTCTGGGTCTTTGGACTTGCCGTTATATGTCTACCAGTATTTTAGAACTCCCGACGGCATCGTTCTTGGAGTCATTGGACTACGCAAACAATTCCATATCGATAAAGACCGATTATTAGAGATGCACACATAAAAGATATACACGTATAGACACTCATATATATTTTACACTGGATGTCGGAGTAACAGACACAGACATACACTAAATTGAGGAATTCCGCAATTGAATAACTATTTTTTGCGCATGAGACTTAATATTGTCATTAATCGGACCAACTGTAACATGCTGCCCTACCATTTAATCTGTTTTAATCCCTAAGTTGAATCATTGTTTCCGTTTTAATTTACCAACGTTATTCTTCAAGAAACACAAGTACGATTACATTTTATTTAGTTATATATCTAATATTATTTGCAATGACTTTTTGCTACTTAACAGGAAGCTCTTCGATAGTAAAATTGCGCAGTTTTTGATATAAAACAATTTTCGACAAACTTTTGAATCTGGCTTTCATTCGAGAAAGTTTTACCCATGAAAACGTAATGCAGCGATCGACAAAGTAATAACTGGTTGCTGCAGGTTCGAGTAAAAATGGCGGCTGGGGTAGAACAGAACCAAGTTTCTTTCCTGCTTTATTCCTGCTGCATTCAGCCTTGCGTTGGAGGAGGAAATTTTATTTTTTTCCTATTCGTGGATGTAGAGCGTTTTTAGACCAAAAAACACGTTGCAGCTGGTGGACATATAACTGTGCCTTTAGTGTTTCTTTTCGAAGAACTTTAAATGAATATTACTAAGATTTTAGGAACGTTTGTGAGGTTTTTTTTTATCGTCATCAAATGTGTGAAAATTTTAATTTGTTGGTTATTTTTTCCCTGGGTGATTTTGTTCTGGGTACGACGATAAACTACATCCGGCAGCAAGGCCTCTGACCGGAAGACTCGAGGTTTTGAGGAGCGTGGAACTAGCTCTTAATTTCTGTTGTTTCTAGTTTCACCTTGACCCAGGGTGGTGGCATCTGTTAGGGTCCAAACAATGGGCAAATAGTGACCGCCCATCTAAAAAAAAAAAAAAAAATATAAAAGCAGTACATTTTTATAATAAAATGTGTAACAATGGATTTTTATAACAAAATGACAATGCAACACTAAAAAATATAAAAATACATTTTTATTGAAAAAAATAATAACAGTACATTTTATGATCTACAAAATATCTAAAAAAATAATACCTTTACCCTGAAATTATAAAATTATGTACAAAATATCTGTAGTTGAAAACATAAAATTACTTAAAAAACATTTAGATTTTGACATTAAATAATTCATAGTGGTTGATAGGACGCTAAACAAATTCAGTCAACCTTGGGTGATTATCGAATCAAATGTCAAAAGTCTATGGAGTTGAAATTACCATTTCAAAGCCTGACTTGTATGATTTCGAATAAATCAATCATTAAATATTGAAAACTTTGATACTTGAAGAAAAAATAACATTTATTGTGAAAATTTGATATATTTTGTACTCTTGACTGAGTAAGAATAAACCTTTTAATATGATTTTATTAAAACCATCTCCTGTCTGAAGGTAACCGATCATGGCTCCCCACAAATTCAGCTTCTTTGAGCATAGTTATCTCCAGTGAATTGTCAAGATAGTGGTGTGATTTCTTTTGCCATCTCCCCAATTTTGAATTGTCCTTATTCTAACATGGCTGCCACCCAATGCTTGAGACAACTTCTACTCCGCTATTTAACCAATACCTTCAGGGAAAAGAGAGATTCATGTCTTTCTCAAAGGTATTTGCCGAACGTGAGCGCAACAGACTAGGCGTGAATTAGAACTCTGCTCACCGATTTCACTTACGCTACTTGCTAATTTTCAATTTGGTGCTTGATTTGAAATTTGAGCAAACCTAGGAATGTTTATTTATTTTTATTTTTTTGTCAAAACAAAAATAATAATCATAATTTGCTTTCTCGATGCTAAAATAGTTGGCCTCAAGTGTGCTGACTATCTATCGGGGATTACATTGTCTGCTCCTCCTTTTTGTAATGTAAAGTATATACATTTGGAATAGTTCAGGATTGTCATCGCCAAGATTTTATATCACTCGATTCCAGTTAACTGACTCGCCTGGTACGACGTTCAGTCTTCTGCATGACTTTCTAAGAATGTACGTTTCTCTCTGTGGGTTACTTTATATAAAGTCCTACACGCCACCTCCCTTACTGGAAGAATTCATTTAGTGAAAGAAGTTACTCAACACAAAATCTTTGGAAATACTTCAAATTCTGAGGAGGAATTTGACTTACAGTGCAAATAATCAGTAAATTGTTACAATACAAAGTTATACGATATTCATTATTGTTTTATACCCAATGTCGATTGATATATTTATAAAATGTTTGACCTGTTTAAAATTAGTATATTATGATTATTTTTTTCTGATTCCAAATTTATATTTTTATACGGTTATTTTGTCTTGTCCGAAATCAATTATTTTTAAACGTTTATTTTTTCTGTTCAAATTTAATACAGTAGAATCCATAACGACCGGACTAAGAAGGCCTTAGTCTGCTTAAAATTTCCAATTTTTGCGATAACTTTAAAGTTGTTTTTTTTTTCTTATTCCCATCATCTTTTGCACCAATAAAAGTCATTAGGGTGAAATAAGCATAAGCAATCATCCAAATTAAATTTGCTGAAAAAGAGAATTTTCAAATCCGTTACATATCACCCAAATAGTTTAAATATATATGTCAAATTCATGTCTGGATATGAGGTACGCAGGGTATGAGAGATTCTACTGTATTTTTACACTTTTTTTCTTGTTCAAGATCAGTACATCATTAACCGTTTATCTTCCTGTTTAAACGTTTATTATATGATTAAACTTTTATATTCCTGTTCAAAACTGAATATATTTTTCGACCTTTATTCTTTTTGTTCAAATCATTTTTTTCTTTTCAAAACCAATTAGTATACATTTCTAAATGCTTAATTTTCCTATTTAAAATTACTTAATACATTTTCAAACGACGTTTACTTTTCCTATAAAAGATACTAATACTTTTTTTAAACATATATTTATTCCTTTTCAAAATCAATTCATATAATGTTAAAATTTTATTTCTTTCATTTTTAAGATCTGTATATCTTACAGGTTAACATGTTTTTTTCTGTTCAGAATCAATATACTTTAAATGTTTATATTTTCTGTGGAAAACCAATTGATATATATACTTTTAATGCTTTTATCCTATTACGAATCAATCGACATATTTTGAAAGCCTTATTTGTCTGGTTCAAAATCAATTAATGTCATAAGCGTTTACTCTTTAACCTCATCAGAATCAATATATTTTTAAACCTTTTATTCTTCTTGATCTCAAGTAATATATTAGTAAATGTTTCTTTTCTATTTGCAGAAGTGTAAAATGCGAATGGCAAATCTCTACATCAAATTCGGACGAAATAATCAAACTAGAATTAGCCTTCTCTTCACTAGACAATTCCTCCAACTGTGAACACAACTACATTGCTGTCTATGATGGTAAGTAAACCAAACTCCATAACCATTAGTAATAATGTACGAAGAAACCGCTACTGCAAAGAGGTGCCTAGTATCTCAGCTGAATAATCTTGAAGCATAATGAGCAGGACATCTTGTTCTTTTAAGCTACGACTGGGCGAACATTTTTCATGGACTGCTACATTTTTGGACCTGTGTATAGCGGATCGTATCACAGTAACAACTTCAGTTTCACAGTGATAATATAAATATTAATATATGTGCATGCTATATCTACATTTGCTCATCAGAAATGTTTTGTGAACAGACTGCACAAAGGTTGATGATTTAGTTTGATACACACACACACACACACAGCAAAGCTCTTCGGTAAAATGAATACGAGCAATTTTGCGGACTGGCATTTGTTTACTTTCGTAAAAACAGTATGCTAGATTTAGCAGTTTCTCTCTGCCGAGTGCTGATGGCTTAGAGGTAGAAACTCCGACTGACACCAAATCGGTCGGTTTTCGATCCTGGCTAGAGGCTTTCGGGCGTCTAGTCGCAATGAGGAGCTGTGATGAAGTAAAATAGTACTGTCTACCAATGACACACACACACACACACACATATATATATATATATATATATACACACACACACACACACACACGCATATATATATATATATATATACACACACAAAAAAAACAGACAGCTACAAATAATGAGGATTTTTTTTACATCAGAAAAAATATTTTTTCAATAATATGTATTTCTGGCAAACTTGAACTTCGTCCCCTCAAAAAATAGAGGGACAAAAGAACTGTTTTTCTATTGACGCCGCTATTATTTTAATTACCTTCACTCCTTGGCAATGTTTATTCTTTTTAAAAAACGATAATTAGTATTCTAATAAAACCTAAACGTATGATGGAAATGAATTTATGCATTTTTGTGTTCTTGAGAATTTACAACAAGAATATTAAACATTATTAGATTGTTTATTTACAAGAATAATTTTATATTTCCAACATTCTAAAAACTAATAGAATTAATGTAATATCATTTACAAATTTATAAAGAAATAATCACGAATTGTATTCGTAAATTTATAAATATTTATTAAAATATATGAACCAACGAAAAAGAACTCCTTATTTACCATTTTATAAGTTTCGAAGCAATTGGTAATTAGCTGGTGTTTCGTCAAACATTCCAATAAGCAATAAAACAGTGTAAATAAACAATCCAATAGTGTTTATTATTTTTGTCAATTTGTTTATTATATCTGTCAATTCTTTAGACCAAAAAATATATAAATTCACATTCTTGTTTTTTTGGTTTTATTACAATTGTAATATCATCGCTTTGAAAATCATGCACATTTCCGAGGAGTGAAGGTAGTTAAAATAATAGCGGTGTCAAGAAAAAAACTGTCGTTTTGACACTCCATTTTATGGCGGACAAGAAGCTCTAAATATCTTGATAAATCTCGTGAGACATTCATAGCAAAGCGCAGAATTGACGCTATACATTTATCTCCCATTGGTGTGCACATAGGTTGCTAGACCCCTACATCAGTTATCACTGTACTGATGATAGGGCATTAATATATATAGGTTGGGATATAGCTCTACATGTGCCTGTGGTAGTATGCAACGTGATATATCGAGTTTGTAGGGAAGTGGGTTTCCTGAAAACAGCGTATTCGTTCTTAAATATATACGGTTTCTGTCTTTTGTTCCTGTTTGGAAAAGATTTTGTGCAACATGTAACCAAAAAATACCACATCTATTCATCGACATTTTTTTTAAAATGATGTTGGGTGTGCTCTTGCGTGTCGCATTAAATCATAATGTTTGTCCGCGTGTGATCCGCGCGCTGTAGTTTGCCTATCCTTGCTTTAAATTATTATTCTCACGTCGACCTCAGCAGATAATTCAACCATGTTTCTATAAATAAGCAGAGACTTCTTGCACTCATAATAAGGAAAACTGGTTTGGAGAATTTAACACGCGCAGGATACTGAAGTCAGGAAAAGCAGGGAAAACAGCGATTAACCTAATTAATGAATTTGGGTAAATGGATGGCTGAGCAGAAGCAAAGAGGGGTGGTGAACGTTTAAAAGTACATACAGTAACAGATTACTAGAAGTTGTAGTGAGTCATGATCGCCTTGAATGGATATGGCAAATAAACTAATCTACTCTAGACCCCATTCACCTGATGACAAGATACGTGCAATATTCTAATACACCTAAACAACTTTACTTAAATCATGCTGACTCTGAACGATTTTGAAATATATTCTTGACTCGCTCTCAAAGATTTTTAACCACTGTACCAAATTCTGGAACGACTTGACTCGTGGGATTAACTCGCAAGTCGACAGAAGAATCATTTTTGTACATTTAAAGTCAGTAATCATTCGAACGCGGTTTGACATCAATATTCATTTGATTGCCTTGTATAATTAAAAGCTAATTCCATTTCATTTAAATACAGAAATCGAGCTTAAAGTGTCATGCCGAAGCAAGCAGCTAAAACTTTAATTTACTTTATCTTGAAAAGAGATGAAGTCTGTTTATATTTTCTTTGAAGTAGGCAAACATAAGATAAACAAAAAATCCGATTCTGGTGGATGAATTCAATCAGATTTTATTTCCAAAAAGAATTAGCATTTTTCAGATTTTCTGCATCTTTTGTAGTAAAGTGTTGAAAACATATTTCGAACTCCAAAAGTTCAAAGAACGTTCTTGCCTGTTCATACAGAAACTTTGATAAGCAAAATAATATTAACCACTTAGCTCTGACAGAAAAAAAAAAAAAAACTCAATAGGCGTTTTCGAAACGCGATGTTGACTTTCGGCACTTGCATCATCAGTGTCATTCCTTTTTCCTTTCCTTTCCTCTCCTCTCCTCTGGTAGTGGCAACGAATATGGCTGTGAAGGCCCAAGCCTACCCACAAAGAGTCGTCGGCAGGAGTCACAGAGAAGTGTTGTCGGCGAACGCGGCTGGGCGAGTCTGGACCTCCTGACAGCATCATCATCTTAACGGTCGGACTTGAAAGTCTTTGTCTTCTCTCTTACTGTCCTACACCAGGAAGAGCGATTTGCAGCAACGGTTTCCCAGGTCTCAGCTGAATTTAATAAACAGTCTTTGTAATGAAAAAAGCTCAAGTTCAAGATATAAAGCAGTGAATAAAAAATGACAACCTGCAATGATGAAAACATGCAAATTTTTCCAACATATTTTGATGGATTATTTACACTATTTACATTGTTCGGACTGTTGTCCGCATCTATTTTACCATAGTTACGACGTTTCGGTCGTTGTACGCCCCGGCCTTCTTCGGGTGATTGGTGCGTACAACGGCCGAAACGCCGTGAATATAGCAGGTAAGATGAGGACAACCGTCCGAACAGTATAAATAGTGTAAATAATTGCAATACCTCATCTCGGAAAAATTTCTTTGGAATTTTAACTTACCTACAATTATAGTCTGCAATTGTAGTTTAGATAGATGCAAAAAAAGAAATGGTCAATATAAATTGGTACCAAGATATGGAACTGACGCGCATATATTTTCCATATATTGTGATCATTTTCTTTGAAGTTCCTATTTTCTTGATTTCAGATGGAAACTTTGAAAATTGCCAATATATTTCAGTGAAATTTCCGAATTAAAGAATTATACTGTAAAATAATAGTTTAAATGTATAGAAAAAAACGCGTCAGTTTAAATTCACTCTATATATGAGCTTTGAAGTTGAACGAAATTTTATGTATTACAATTTTTGAATTTGTTTCGTTTGCAGGACCTAACGCAAGCAGTGGACTGCTGGGGAAAACGTGTGGTAACAAGACGACTGTTTTCACTTCAGCAAGCTGGAGTTTGTATGTTGTCCTACAACTGACCAAATCAAACGCTAGCAACGCCTTGTTAGCGACATATTTTTCCGAAAGAAAAGGTTTGTATAAGCATCTCCATATAAAAGAAAATATTTTATCAATTACATCGTAAAACTTGTATCATATCATTTGCAAATATCAGGATTTTTTCTATGACTTTTTACGTAGGTATGTGTAAAGGCTTATATATGCAGATATTGTGGCAAAGTGAACAACATTTAGTGACATTGCGTTTCCCGTGTGTGGTTGTTATCACAGGTCGGAATGGAAAACAAATAAATTTGTAAAAAAAAAAAGTGCATTGGAATTTTTTGTGAAGAGGTAATAAATAACTTTTTCAGATTCTATGGCCAGAATTTTTTCCTCTGTTTGTATACCTCAAGAAAAAACAAAAAAAATCTATTTGGTAAGAACATTAACTCTTTAAAAAGGAAAAGATGTAGCGCTTTATGACCATTTTATCTTATTCTTTTTTGAAAGGCCGTGTTCCTTCAGGTCAAGGCTCTCCACTACTTTCTGTCCCTTGTGGCCCTTAGCCACGTTTTTCCATTTTCTAAGACAACCGCCCCTACTCGTTCGGCCACTCATTCACTCAATCTCATTAGGTAGATGGCTTGATATGTACCTCTATCTCTCTAGCACTTGATATGCCATGTGAATTTTCCGAGATTTCCAGGAAAACTTCCATCGCTCTTTCCTTATTACCAGCAATATATTTTTGAAAAAAAATATTACCAGCAATACGTTTTTGAAAAAAAGAATGATACCAGCAATACATGTTTTAAAATAATATTACCAGCTATACATTTTTGATGAAAAAAATATATTACCAGAAATAGATTTTTGACAAAACAAAATATTACCAGAAAAAAAAAAAGTTGTCGGCATTAAATAACCCATTGAGTTTGATATACCCTAAAACACAACAAACCAAACCATACTAATATATAACAATTTCAGAATCCTCTACTATGAATATTCATGCACGGTAATACGTATCTCCTTTTCTCAGGAAACTACTTCTGCTGCAAAGTGTGATAGTTAAAACAAGAGAAATACAAATACAAGTGGTAAGCATCTATATATATATATACCTGAAGTCAAAATTTGCATTTTCTTTTTCAAACTTCAGTACACCAAAATATTCAGTTAATATATCGATTTTAAACTCCTGAACATCTGATAAAGCAATTAAATTCACATCTACAGAATTTCTAGGCTGCCATCCCTTTTTAAATCATTACTTCTTAGTTGTTCGTCTAACAGTATCTGTGTACTTGAACCGCCGTTTCTGTCTTCAAGCTAACCAGGGACTGATGGGTGTTTTGTCGCTGGGCCCTGATAGTTACCCTCTGATCTCGATCAAACATCTTCGGTCTACAATTTCTGTTCTTGACTATCAGTTGTTGACAACTGTCTAATTTCGGTTAATTGTCTTAGAAGCTTTACATTTTTGTAGGTCCGAAATCTAGAATTTAGTAATCCTACCACTTTCAGAATGCTACGGTCTTCTTTTCTCGCACATTCTCTGGAAACCTGACAAAGTTTTCAAAAACATGTATGGATTTTTTTAAATGTATGTATCAATAGTTAGAGGATTGTTTTATTTTCCAAGCACGGTCAGCATATTATGGCCATGTTCATAGTTGATGTTATTAAGTGTTAGCTTTTTCTTTTTTATCAATGCTTCCATTATTATTATTATAACTCTAGATACATACACACGCTTAAAAGTAAAAACAAAATCACCCCCGATAATGGCTAAAAGTATAGTAGAAAGTGCCCGGACATACAGAACATTCGGACAATTTATATATAATTTATGACCAGAAAAGAGTAAAATTATAAGAACACAAGAAAAATTAAATAAAAAAATAACTTATCCGCAGAACCTTGTCAGTCGTTTTGAATGAAACGTGTGTGTGTGTGTGTGTGTATATATATATATATATATATATATATATATATATAAAATATGAATATAAAATGATTTCCGCTGTAGTCCTGGGTATGACGATAAACTACATACGGCAGCAAGAGGAAATTGGAGGTTTTGATGATTGTGATATCACCTCTTACTTGCTGTTCTTCCCAGGCCTATCCTAACTCGGGGTTTTAGCACCTGTTAGGATCCCAGCTATGGGTAAATAGTGAACCCCCAAACTGGTGTCAAAACATGAAAATATAAAAATACATTACGAAAAAATTACTAGTAATGCATTTCAGAGTAAAAAATGAAAAATTACCAGCAATTCATTTTAAAAAAATTACCAAAAATCACAAGAAAATAAAATTTCGGCATTTAAATGATCCATAAGGAGTTGATATACAGTTAAACAAACTAAAACTATAAAACAAAATGCAACTTATAGTTCTTGATGTCTCCTGACTCTTCAAATAAAAATATTTCTAACCTAAATCAAATGCTACAAAGTTATCTCCCTTACTTACGTCGTCTTTTCAAGTGTGATGCAGACTAAACATTTTGTGCAGCCTGACAGCTTTTCGTTTGAACATTTAATGGCTTGATGAAAGTAACAGCTTCAGATCAAATAATCTGACTTTGTAATAATCCTTTGAGAGGTTTCTTAGGTTCTTGAACAAAACAAAAAAATATCAGAGATAGAAATGTATTTTTTGTAACATTTATATAAGTGTTTTCCAACAATGCTACTGTTGAAAGTATCATGGAATAAAAAAAATGATTTTTCTTTATTTCTCGCTTTGATTTTGTAGAGACTAAATTGACGCATGAGCATTCCCCCACCCCACTCTTTTAGCATTTACTTGTGACTTATCAATTTTCTACAAACTTAGTTCTTTTTTGTTTTCTTTTTTTGCTTTTTCTGGTTAATAACATTTGCTGCTATATGTGTTTTTTTTTTTTTTTTTAATGTTTGTTACAACGACCTCTCAGACAGTCGATCGCTAGCCTAAGTCTTCCTGGATTTTTTTTTTTTTGATAAATACTTTTCATTTGTTCACTAAAATGATTGTATTGTTTCTATGGACTGTTCTTGCGAATTTACGGGCACTACTAGATTGGTAACAAGATCTCACCTTTTCCCTAGTTACATGCAACCGTCACTACTATTCTAATAGTTTTTCTTACACTTCTCAACCGTGGAATTACCTTCCAATTCCTTTCTTCCATGCCACGTAAATTCTTCAAAATTTTAAATACAACGTCCTCACCATCTACCGTCTTCCTGAACCTTGTTCCCTTTTTTGTACTTTTCCTCCCTAAATTCTTATTCTCTGTCATACAGTGTCCTAATGGCTTTATCGCCTTGCTTAGGATGAAAAGATTTAAAAAATGTATTCTAAATATGGTGTTTTGAGGAAGGCAAATAGTTCCACCTAAAAAGAAAAAGATATGTTAAAATCTATTAGCAGTACGACTAAGAAAACCATTAATATAAGCTAAGTAATTTAATTACCTTTTAGTTTATCTCAGCTTTTACCCTTTGGTCCGTCGAAACGAGTGGTGCAAAGAATATGGCGTGGATTTGTACCATAGGTACTGTAACTGTTTTTATGCTTCAAATTACTATAGATTATGCATTCTACATTATAAATATTGAAGATAAATTTTATTAATTTTTATAAAATTTATTAAGGGGGTCCAACTTATGTAAATTCATTGTAAATTGATTTCCCTACGGAAGCCAAAACAAAACATTCTCATACTATATGATATCTTGGGCACCTCGAGGTGGTGTAATGGTTAGCAAGCTTGCCTCGCTAGAACAATTACGACCGAGTAGTGAGTTCGATCCTCACTAGGTGCCTCTTACTTTCGGCCTTGTGCCACTACTACATGATATCTTAAAATTAGGGCGTTCATGTGGTGTAATGGATAGTGGTTTAGAATAAGAAATCGGAGAGCGGAGTTCGAATTCCAATCTGGTTCTTTACACCCAATTATACCATCCTACAGAAACTATAGGTTAAATAGTAGGACCTGTATCTGGAAAAATCATTCTAAAAACAAAAAGACTGTTAATGCATTACTAAAAAAAGGATTATTCTTATAAAGGAAAATAGTGTCAAACTTTAAATAATACATAAAGGTTTCATATTCCACAAAAAAAGTCAATCATTTAATAACTTAAATTTAAAAAAAAAACATTGAAATCCGTTATCAGTAGTGTTTTTTTAATACATTACCATCGATTAAACACTTCAGATTAGGACATTTTTTTACATTTTGAGCAGTTACGTAGTATAAGGATATTTTTGTTTTGAATGTCGTTTGTGGATCAATTTTCAACGAACATACAAAGCAAAATGGACTATTGTTAAATTTATAAAATTAAAAAAAAATATTCTCAGTGTGCAGTTTTTAATCTATCAGTTAAGTTTCATACATGATTCACACTTGAGCGATTATGTCTCTTTCCATTTATGAGTGACGAGGCAGAATATATTTTCGCAGTAGGTTATTTCTTCCTGCGGTAGACTGGTTGCCAACCAAGGATCTAGGGCCCAGTCTATCTTACTGTTCAATCCCTGGCTTGGGAAGAAGAGATGGATTCATACTTTTCCCAAGGGTATTTACAAGTAAGTGAATATAATGAACACAACAGGAATTCGAACTCGGCTCTCTGAGTTTTCATTCGGAGCTAATCTCAAATATGTCACAACGCTTAATCTAAAGTAAAATGAAAAACAAAAGTGAAAATATTATTTCTGATCTCTGTGTCTATTGTGAATAAGTCCACCGAATATTTCTTGCTAACTTGAGTTTCAAGGCGAACACAATGGGCAAATTCTTTAAGGAATTTTTAATGGGAAAAGAAAACTCGTGTATCTATTTGATTTTTGGAAGCAAAACTTAACCGAAATATATGTTTTCTTTCTTTTTCTTAAAGCGTTCGGTAATATCGCATAAATGTCCGTTCAGGTGAATCAAAAATTAAATTTATTCAAGAATATAATATTCATTAGCAATAATAAGAATGTCCACTCTTTCAACGTCTACTGCATGTCAAGTTCACTCTGGTACTCAAGTAGAACTCCTATCAAATTAAATGACGGGAAATTGGTTGAGTCATTC